CCGCTTGGCTATTTTAATCTTTAAACTCATTAAAGGGCTATGATGAGTTAGGCCAGAAATTAAAAATTCTTATTTGTAAACAATGTTTATTTCATATAGGTTCAAATACATAATAACGTACAGGTTATATTATACTATTTGGTGCATATTTAAAAGTAATGTATTGAACAAAATTGAATTTACTTAAGGTGATTACAGCACCCCCTTCGGACAAGGATATCTCAAAAAGTAATTTTTTTAAAAAATTAAAATTTTGGCAAAATATATTAGGCAATAATATCTAGAATATGCATATATTTTAAAGTTTTAACTCCTTCCAGTTTCCGAGAAAAAAATCAAAGGGCTTTAAATTTTGAAATATCATAATGAAAATAAATACATTCCTCAACAGCAGTATTCTTAATATAATCCCCAAATTTAAGCTCTTAATCTCTTGTTAATGATTTTTTAAAATTCGCCGAAATTAGTGGCTAAAACGCCTTGTTAAGTTCTATTTTCTGGTTTAAACTGGTGTAAACTGGTGTAAATCGTTGCAAGAAACGAATGATGACTCAGAGTGTACGATACGATAGTTACAGACGCGTTACACTAGAAAGAAGCACTTAACGAGACGTTTTAGCCACTAATTTCGGCGAATTTTTAAAAATCATTAACAAGAGATTAAGAGCTTAAATTTGGGGATTATATTAAGAAAACTGCTGTTGAGGAATGCATTTATTTTCATTATGATATTTCAAAATTTAAAGCCCTTTGATTTTTTTTCTCGGAAACTGGAAGGAATTAAAACTTTAAAAAATATGCATATTCTAGATATGATTGCCTAATTTATTTTGCCCAAATTAAAATTTTCTAAAAAAATTACTTTTTGAGATATCCTTGTCCGAAAATTATAAGGGGGTGCTGTAATCACCTTAACTCATTACATTCCAATTGTCGGAGTTTTTCCGATAAATATAATTTTCTTTTTTCGATGTGAGGCCGTAGTTTTTTTAACATACTTGTTAGCGCTTACAATTTTTACATATGTTTCTGTTTGAAAGTTAATTAAAATTTTCACAAACTGAAAAATATTCGGATGGCAAGAATAAAAATGGCTATTAAATAATGAATGAAGCTGAAGCCCATACAAACGGCGAAAATGTAGCATTTGCCCCAATATAGTTATCTACTAAATAGTCGCAAAATTCAATTAATTTTTGGTTACCTACTACATCACTGTTTTCAAACAAATCAAATGCAAAACAGTAACCAACTTTTTCTGGTTTTATTATATTCTCCTACTTGATTTTCTGAAAAGTAATCAGCGCTTGGGATAAATGAAAGCGACAGCCTATTATTTTTACGTTTTGCCATTGCATTATAAATCGCTAACTCAAAATCAATTACAATAAAAGAAGGTTTAAAGTAAAGACATTTTGTATCCAATAACTCAAATAATTTAAGATACACTGATTGTGATTTTGAGGGCAATAAGCAAAAAACTAAAGGTACTTAGTGTCCATTTTTGTAACCGTGAATTGTAAAAACTGTACAAAATATTTGGTCGAATATTGAAATGTACCGTTGATATAAACAGTATCAACTGAACATAAAAAATTAAAGTTGCTTCTGCAACCAAACACAATTATCTGTGAAGGCCAATCGCAAATAGAAAGAAACGTTTTTATTTGTAATAGGATTAATCTTACCTAAACAAGTAAAAACATCCTCTTGATTTTTGGGGAGCGTGGGCATAACAGAACGTCTTGTGGCATAAATGTTTTTTCGCACTCTATGAATGTCATGCGAGGTAATATCGTCACAAAACTCGTACTTTCTTAATTCTTGATAGATGAATTTTGAGGGTTTTGTGACAGGTCCTGCAATGCTTTCCTTTTAATGCCATTGCTAAGGGCCTGCCGTTAAAGAGTGTCGTCTTTCTCATGGTTATGATTGACATCACTTTTCTGGTCTATTATTTGGTCACGAAGGATATAAACCTTGGCTGAACACTTGTTTTTTTAGCACATCGCCATTGCACTTCACCATTGGCAAGAGTATTTGCCTCACAAAATTTAAAATTGCCTATTATTAACAACTTTTCCCCCTTTTCGCTAAAAATATATTTGACTTCCATGATAGTAATATACTCTGTGACAATTAAAGTCAGAATAAAATAGTACTTTTCTATTTTCCTTACATCCGTAATGTATTTACACATCATTCTCCTAATTACTTATTAATACTCCTAATTAATAATTGACAAGGGTTTAAAGAAGGTCGCTGGCCTAATTCAACTACCTAGATTACGCCACCTGCAGCGCTGGCCTAACTTAGCTTCCCCGGTTTTTCCATAGAAACCTAATAAATAAATCAGTACATGCAAATAATCATATCAATTTCTATAAAGGATAAAAATGCAACACATATCCATGATTGAAAAACCTAAAATCGTGTTTAAAAATGGAATTTCATACAAATCATCCTTTTTTTGTTTCTTATTACATTTACATTTTATGTTTCAGCATTTCCAAAAATAAAAGTATCTTATGTTTGTTCGATATAATTAAAATACCAGAATTAGAAAAACATTCTTGTGCAAATTATGTTTATAGAGTTTTAGTTGGACTAGTGGCAGATTGAATTTTTTTTTCTAGACCATTCTAACAAAATCAATTTAAAAAAAGCTACAAAAACAATAAAAACTGGGATACATGCCAACAAATATAAATTTTGTTAGATATTTAGGTATAAAGAATTATTTAGAATTTAAAACTCAATGCTGTTAATTTAAATAATAACATATTAGTATAGCGAAATAAATAGTTATACTTGATATTTCCAAATAATAATTTTTCACATATATTATTAAATAAGTTTATTAACATTTGCTTTAATTACATTCTTAGTAGAGCCTTCAAATACACACCGCATAAAAATAACCGCATCATTTCAATGTTCTTACAAAACGTAAAATTTTTGCAATTTTGCAAGTTTGGTGTCTTATAAATTAAGAACTATTTGTATGCAATAGTGACAAAAAAATAAAACTTAAGAAGGGACCATAAAATTCATTTTTTTTTAAATTTAAAAAAAGTAATTTGGGTGCAATCGATAAATAAAACAAATTTAATACCTTGTATTACCACCCCGTGGTCTAAGTACTGCCAGACATCGACGTGGCATACTTAAAATCAGGCTTTGCATCAATTGTTTCGGCAAATTGTCCCATTCCTCGGTTAGAGCATTTTAAAGTTGATTTAAGGTGTTAGGAACAATTGGTCGATTTCGTACTTGTCGTGATAAATTGTCCCAGACATGATCTATTGGATTTAATGCAAGACTTCGAGTTGGCCAATCAAATGTGGGAATACCAACTTCGTTAAGGTACTGACGAACAATTAAAGCTGTGTGCGGGCGTGCGTTGTCTTGCATAAAAACAAAATTGCCACCAATGAATGGACCATAAGGTACATCATAGGGTTCTAGAATGTCCGTTACATATCTTGCAACTGTAAAATTTCCTCCCACAACTGATACTAACTCTGTACGAGCCGCAAAAGAAATTCCTCCCCACATCATAACAGAGCCACCACCAAAAGGTTCGGTTTCTCTGATGTTACACTGAAAGTATCGTTCGCCATCACGCTTGTTGATTGAAATTCGTCGATCAGATGAAAACATGCTGAATCTAGATTCATCAGAAAACAAGCTGAATCTAGATTCATCAAAAAACAGAACATTGGACCAATCGTCTATATCCCAATTCACATGATTTCTGGCAAACTCCAACCGTGCAACACGATGCTCCCTGGTGAGGCGTGGATACAAGTTGGCCATTCTGGCTCCAATTCCTCCTTCCCGAAGACGATTTATTATTGTTTACACAGAAGTTCTTGTGTTGCGGGCATTCGCGCTGTACAGTGTTTAGTTGGACGACCTTGTACCAGGCCTTCTGTCGTATTGGCCTGTTTCTCTAAACCTGTTTTCTCTAAACCCTGGAAATTGTTGATTGTTGAACATCAAAGGCATTTGCAATGTAACGTTGACTACGTCCTTCTTCAAGTAATTAATGATTCTAACCAAATTTATTCGGGTGGTCAGGATTATTCATTTCAATAATTTTCAAAATTCAATACCACAAAAACCAAGTTAACTTTACTAAATATTGAAAGCAACTAATCGCGAAAGTTGGTTGTAATTTCAAAGTATTATTATTTATTTTACAAAAACATTTACACATAAAAAACTCATCCTTTTTGAATGTAAGTATCCAAAACTAATATACAGGGTGTCCTAATACTTAAATATATCGAAAAATCAAATAAAGAAAAACTTTTTGTCACTTTTAATAGTGATGCACTAATTTTTGTTTAGTAACGTTTTATTTTGTGAAATACTATACTACGAATACAAGTAGATGATTACCAAATAACATTTCGAATTATTGTTAAAATACTTTTTTTTATTGGTAAATAAGTGGAAATACTGGTAAAATACTAATATAAAACATCCTTTATTCTTTCAATCAATAACATCTAGAGTGATTACAAAAACAATTTTTTATAAATTTTAAAGAATTTCCAGACAAAGTTTGTCATTAAAAAACAACTCTTAACATTAATAAACCATATCCATTCTTGTATTGATATTTTTGTCAAATCAATTCTTTTGTAAAATCTTTTACTCTTTTCCTAATCATTCTTTCTATTTCATTAATATCTTTATTTAATATCAAACTTCTATGTAAACATTTTTCTAAAATACAAATCTCAATAATCATGACAATTTTCTCCATAATCATTTTTTTAGATTTCCAAATAATCCAACTTTGCTAGACTATCACCATTATTCATTTGTATACTACTAATCCAAAGCAACGAAAATGGCATAAAAAAATGCATCCCAATATTACTCTTAACTTTTACTAATATGGGGTTTCTAAGTTTTTTAATTAAGACTTTTAAATTCTTTTTAAACTTCGACTTGTTCAACTTAAAACTGTTTGTAATATTTTTCAGTTACTTCCTATTATACTGTCAATCATCAGCCAGTCAAAATGTGGCAATCTTCAATCAGACCTGACTGCACCATCTGCCTCATCTCAATATAGTAGCGGATATGGCTCTTCTGGCTCTAGCCTACACAGTGTTAGCGGACATGGTGGTCATGGAGAACTTAATGTAGGAATATCAGCCGGTATATCGCATGGAGGTGGAGGTGGATTTGGAGATAGCCATGGAGGATTCTCAGGAGGACAAGAAGGATTCTCAGGAGGACACGGAGGATTTTCAGGAGGACACGGTGGATTCTCCTCAGGAGGACATGTTGATTATTCATCAGGAGGAGGACACAGTAGTTTTGGTGGATCAGGGGGTCATGGATTTGGAGGAGCAGGCTTAGAAAGTGGATCTGACTTTGGAGGATCCAGCGGATCAGGATACTCAGGATCAGGAGGACCAGGATTTGGAGGATCTGGTGGTCCAAGTTTCGGAGGATCTGGTGATCATGGTTTTGGTGGATCAAGCGGGTCAGCATTTGGAGGATCCAGTGGTCCAGGATTTGGAGGACAAGGAGATTCAGGATTCGGTGGTTCTGGAGGTCCAGGATTCGGTGGTTCTGGAGGTCCAGGATTCGGTGGTTCTGGAGGTCCAGGATTTGGTGGTTCTGGAGGTCCAGGATTCGGTGGTTCTGGAGGTCCAGGCTTCGGTGGGTCTGGAGGTCCAGGATTCGGTGGATCTGGAGCGCCAAGTAAGACTTTAATATCACTGTCAATTAATGTGTAAAAACTTTATTTTCTTTAGACTCTTGAAAATTCGGATTAGACGATATTTTATTAGTTATTAATTTTTTTCTAACCTGAAAATTAAAACATAAAGACGTACCTAGAGAAACTAACATTTCTATTTCTTTTGTAATTTTATTTTAGAGAAATTTTATATCATTATTTTTTAGGAACTGTTCATAGAGGCACCACCTACTCAGAAAACACGCAAAGAGTGAAAATTCCAGTACCACGTCCAGTTCCTGTTCCAGTAGACCGCCCGTATCCAGTCCATGTGCCAGTACCCAGACCAGTACCTGTACCACGACCAGTACGCGTAGAAGTACCTCATCCGGTACCAGTAGAAGTCATAAGACACATACCATATACAGTATACAAGCCTCATCCAGTACCAGTGAAAGTTAAACACTACGTCAAAATCCCTACCCCAGTACACGTAACAGTGCCAAAACCCGTACCAGTAGTTATTGCTAAGCCTTATCCAGTAAAAGTACCTACCAAAGTTGTGGTTAGCGTACCTGTGCCAGTAAATGTTCACTCTAACTCTCCAATCGGAGTGAGTGCAAGCGTTGGCGGTTTTGGCGGATCTGGATTTGGAGGAGGTGGTTTCGGAGGAGGAGCAGGCTTTGATAGTGGAGCTGGATTTGGCGGTGGGGCAGGCTTTAGTGGTGGAGCAGATTTTGGTGGAGACCATGGAGGGTTTGGTGGAGGATTTGGAGGTGGACACGGAGGATTTGGAGGTGGACAGGGAGGATTTGGAGGTGGACAGGGAGGATTTGGAGGTGGACACGGAGGATTTGGAGGTGGACACGGAGGATTTGGAGGTGGACACGGAGGATTAGGCGGTGGACATGGAGGATTTGAAGGTGGACTTGGAGGATTCGGAGGCGGATATGGCGGAGGTCATGGAGACTTTGGGGGACATGGAGGAGGACACAGTGGAGGATTTGGAGGAGGACATGGTGGAGACTTTGGTGGCAGCTATGCTAGCAGTTTTGGTCATGGAGACTATTCTGGTTCAAACTTCGGAGGTGGACACTCCAGTGGTTTCTCGGTAGGAGATAGCACTTACACGTCAGGAGGCCATGGAGGACATGGTGGAGGACATGGTTACGCGTCTAATTACGATCATGGAAGCTATAGCCATGGAGGGCACGGTGGCGATGGACAGTATGATAGTAACGGAGGTTACAAATATTGAGCAGCATTTTTAAGTTGCTTATAGTGTTGATCTAGTCTATTTTTTACATTTTTAAGTTAATAAAATATAGTTTTCCGTTTTTCTTCTTTTATTTTTTTTACGTTGAAATAATATTAGTCTGTATTTAAAGAGTTCTTACAATATTGATAATTAAACTTGTTTGTTAAGTGGATATGAATTAACGAAGTGTGAAGGAATTTAGCAAATTATTCAAAAAACATGTAAAAAGTATGCCATTGCGTTCAACTGAAAGAATATATTTCATATCCATTCTACCTAGTATAAACATTGCAAATAAATGAAATCCACTAATAAAAGTTCAAATTTTGATCGCCTGGCTACTATTATTTTTTAAAATTATAAATAGTTTATAATTCTTTCAAACTAATTGTCTGTATAGTTTTTAGATATTGACTTTAAATATACATTTAAATGAGTTGTTCTTGTGTAGAATTGATACATAATAGCATTTCTATTTTTATTTTATCTATATTTACAAATAAATCATAAATTTTAATAACACTATATAAAATCAATTTAATTATTAGTGTTAAAACTTAAATGTTGTGTTGCGATGGAGAAAATACCAACTAGGATACTTGGCGTTCATGCAGAGGTCCCAGGTTTAATTCTTTTTTATAGTTTATTTTATTACATAAATTAATAAAAGTAATAAATTATTTTTAAATTAGATATTTTATCTTAAATTAAATAATTTTAAAACTTTTTAGATTTTCGTTAGTGGGTAGAAAAAATATACTGTACAACTCGAGCGGATTTTCCGTATCGTCTTCGTGCGATATAGCCATCATATCTCCACTCTTGATGCATAAACTACTATTATTGGTTATTTACATAAAATAATAACAACAAATTATAAGTTTTATAGATAGTAACAAATGAATTTACACAAAAACACTGTAGACAATTAGTACAGATAATTAGTTTGACAGAATTGTCACTTATTTAAAATTTTAAAAATAATAGTATCCGGGTGATCAAAATATGAACTGTGGTTAGTGGATTTCAGTTTTTTGCAGTGTTCATACTAGGTAGAATGGATATGAAATATATTCATTGAAATGAACGCAACATACTTTTTCTACACCCCGATATATATTAGCTTATCTACGCACAGATTAAAAAACGAAAAAGTATGTTATTGCCTTCAACTGAACGAATATATTTAATATCCATTCTAGGTAGTAAAAATACTCAAAAAAATTAAATTCACCAATCACAGTTCATATTTTGGACTACTATTATTTTTAAAATTTTAAATAAGTGACCATTCTATCATTAAAATGGGTTATTCTTGTGTAGAATCGATAAATAATAGCATTTCTGTTTTTATTTCATCTATAATTATAAATAATTTGTTTGTTTAAATAAAACTAGCTACTATGGCAGGAAAGAAAAAATTATTTTAAAATTTAAAATTATTATAAAATTAGTTATTTTGTCTTAACCTAAAAAGTTTTTTTATTTGTCATTTTCGTTAGTGGGTCGTAGAAAAAATATACTATACAACTTGAGTGGATTGTCCACATCGCACTCAGACGATTGAGCACTCTGCCTATGGCGTCGTGCTCAAATTTCGTTTTCGAGCGAAATGACCCTCATATCTACTCTTGTTGCACAAACTACTATTTTCGTTTTGTAGTCTGTGCCTAAAATAGCTAATGTCCATGTGGGTCGAGAAAAATTAACTTTCAACCAAAAATGTATTGTAATAGTTTTTATTACATTTGTTGGCGAATTTTATTTATTTGTAAAATAAAATATAAAAATCGAATAGCCGCTAAATAATTGGTTGGTTTTAACCACTATCTGTTAAGTGTTGACAGAGTGGTGACAAGTTATAGTATTAAAAATATGAAATAAAATCGTTTCTCTGATAAATACATTTTTCCGATACCAAATGATGGACAACAAAAATAAAAACTAGATATTTAATAATTTTATTAATAAAATAAAACAACAGAAAATTTCAATAAAACTATCCACCCTAAATATTTTTAAAGGTAAGGCTTTTATGAAAAAATAAAAAATAAGACAAAAATAAGTTACTCTTAATTATATTTCACCCTTTTCTCCCCATGGCCACCCCCATGTTTTTTCAATAGAACATTCTGTATTTTATTTCATTTTTTTTAATCTCTAATATTCGATTTCAAAAAAATATAATTATTAAATGTTTTTATGGTTCCGGAGCATCTTTTTTGTGTCTCCATTCGCCTATTGTGAAAAAAAGAAAATGTTAACACTAGGTCATATTTTCAAAAATATGTATGAAGTATGATTCATCCTAAATCTTAAATATACAGAGTAAGATTATCATCACTTTATGATAAGCAGCAATGCCGATACAGCTAAAAGCAAGAAAACATCAACAATGATGTCCATACGTTGTTCAAATTGAATCGATCATGGAAAGTGTTCCTTGTTACCAGATAAAAAATGTAACGTGATTAATCTTGAAATTTTAAGGCTTTTTTAGGGATTGGGAACTGACCTTGAAGTTCTGACAAATGAGCAAATTTCTTCCGGAAAACAGTTGTTAATCCTCGTGCGTCATTGACTCATTAATGCTGGCGAGAGTTGTATGGACTAGCCAGCAATCTTTTGGGAGTGTGAGCAGATCTTGTCGCTTGCTTTACCAGTACCTCAACGAGATCTTCCAATCGAAAGTTGAAACTTTAACAGGAGCGGAACTTACAATTTCTTCTAATTTCGGATTTGACTCTCCACCTCATGGCAATTTACTTCATCCACTCTTGATCTGTTCTCTTTTATCTTCTTTTCCATTTTCTATTTTCTCCTCAATAAAATATTTTATTTTCTCCTTCATGGAAAAAATTTCATTTTATATAAAAAAACTATTAGAGGAGACTTTAAATTTCCATATAAGACATTATAGAAGACACCTTTTCTATAAGAAAGAAATATCATTTTTAATAGAGGAAACATCAGCAGTATTCACAGAAGATATTTTACTTTCTATCGGGCACGGTGGTGTAGCGGTCTATCGCGCTTATATTCATTTATAGGCAAGTTTATGAGTCTGAGACTGCTGGGTTTCGAATCCCAGACCAGACCATGTGGATTTTTAATTAAATTGCATGGTTCGGTGTAGGATTTGATGTGTGGCGTATTAATAGAAATTCAATTTCTGTTGATATGACATGCAGATTAAAAAAATTCGCCATACATTACCGTCTCGATGATGGTGGGTGAGGTTTTCCGGGTTTTCCTCACCTGTAAGTCAAATGGCACCATCAATCATCTTTAAGTCGCCCCGGAGCGCCACGGCAAATAATAATAATAGCCGTCTCTTTCCCCGGACAAGCTCAGCTTTTGGGGTTAAAATTCACTCGTAAGGGGGTGAATTAGAGAGAGTATTATTATTATTATTATTATTATATCGAAGAAATTTTATTTTTTAAAGAGATTTTACTTTCCAAGTCGGAATAAATTTCGTTTTTCAAAAAAGATATCAGAAGACCCTTTAGTTCCTAAGGAAGAAATATCAGAAAAAACTTTGTTTTCCAAAGAATAGATTTTCATTTTGCACAGAAGACATATCAGAATAAATTATAGGAGAAGGTGCATCATCCGAAAACCGGTTTCAGATCCAAATCCTCAGTTTCCGGTACTCGTTCTGCCAACTCTTCTTTGTTTTCTGTCATCTTCAGTTTACGATCCTCTAGTTCTCGACGTAATTCACTCCTTCACTTTTAAATCACTTAGTTTTTAGCAATTTTTAATCACTATTTATTTACACTAAAGGACCCCGCAATAATCTTATGGAAATTGGGTTTCTGTCAAATTATCTAAATTTTTCATATGTTGTAGATTTTGTCATCCTGAACAAAAGTCTCCATGGGCACAAAGTGCCAAAATGAATATTTTGGCATCTACGGAGCTGCCAAAGCTCCCCTGACCCGTTGCAAAACTATTCATTTTCAATACTATTTACAGATGTCAAAAGCATATTTTAATTATCCTAATATATAGGGTAATGTTTTTGAGGTCACTGGATTCAATCCTCATGTCAGATTGGACAAAATGACCGTTGACAGCTGTCAATTCACGGTCAACGAGGAATATAAAAGTAAATATCCTCTTTTCACATTGAGAGTTGGTGTTTTTGAGGTCGCTGAATTAAATTCTCATGTCAGATTGGACAAGTGAACAGTTGACAGCTATTCCTCGTTGACCGTGAATTGACAGCTGTCAACGGTCAATTTGTCCAATCTGACATGAGAATTGAATTCAGCGACCTCAAAAACCCAAACTCTCAATGTAAAAAGAGGATATTATTACTTTTATATTCCTCGTTGACAGTCAATTGACAGCTGTCAATGGTCAATTTGTCCAATCTGATATGAGGGTTGAATCCAGTGACCTCAAAAACATTACCTTATATATTAGAATAATTAAAATATGCTTTTGACATCTGTAAATGGCATTGAAAATGAATAGTTTTGCAACGGGAAAGGGGAGCTTTGGCAGCTCCGTAGCTGCCAAAATATTCATCTTGGCACTTTGTGCCCATGGAGACTTTTGTTCAGGATGACAAAATCTACAACATATCAAAAATTCAGACAATTTGACAAAAACCCAATTTCCATAAGATTATTTCGGGGTCCTTTTTCGGATATAGTACAAAATGACACATTGGCCAAAAGTTTCACTTTCGTATCATTTATTGAATATTCTTCTGTGTTCCAGCCTCAAGATCGGCGTTGACCATAGGCGTCTAATTTAGCATGGTCGTAACATTAAGTTGGGTTTCTGGGTTGACTTATTTCTTTGAATATTTTTAGTAATCAGACAAGTGGGGCCGCAAAAGGCCCAAACAAGGCAGATATATCTTAAGGGATTAGAGCTTGACTAGACTTGTCGCAAATGGCTTGAATTATAATAGTAAAAGGTTGCTTTTCCTGTTATTCATACCATAGATGTCCATATTTTTCTTAAATAATCATGTATCTTCG